AGTGCATCATTACATAAAAGCTTGTTATTAAAACGTTTTTTATGAATTTTTTTATTATTATGTTAATAGGCCTGCAAGTTATAAATACAAAATATAGATACCTAATCACCAGAGTTTCTTCCAGGCATCTCTTCGGGAAGGGGGGGGGGAGAATTTTTTTTACCGAACCCCCCCCCCCCCCCCCCCCGAACGACATAAATTTATATAATTTATATAGAAAATACATACTTTTAACAGTGTCCGGCCCCCCCCCCCCCGAACGAAATTCAATTGTTCTGCGCATAATAGCTGCATTAGGGTTAGGCCGGTTAGAGACAGGGTAAGTGTTAGTGTAACACCGCGTTTACACTTATGACGTGTATGCTAGACTAGACTCGGTGTCATCCATTTATGACGTCCACAAAAATGTGGAGTTTTAACCCACCCCCCCCCCCTCCTCCCGCTCTCCTCCCTCGTCCACTTTCGACGAATTCCCCCCCCCCCCCCCATTGTAGACGTCTATAAATATTTAGTAGACCTCTCAAAACATGCTGCAAAGATACTTATTCATTTACACACCATGTGTATATTAACTGATAATGTAATATAGGGATTTGATATTTTCGATAACATCTAGGTCTAATATTAGGCCTAAATAAGAATTTGAAGTTAAACTGTTCCAAGATGTCCGTAAGTCCAGAGGCGTAGCTAGGGGGGGGGGGGGGGGTGCCCCGTGCGCCGACCCAAGGGAGGCACCAAAAGGGTCAGAATTTTTTTTTTAAGCTGCAGTTTTGAATTATAAACAGTCACAGTTAAGGAATTTAACGGCTACAAGCCTTTACATACTGATTTAACTGTTTCTACATTGATTGTGTAAAACAAATACCCTTACGAAACATCGACCGGCAAAAAACGCTTTCCATTTTTTTCTCGACCGGCCGGGGGGGGGGGGGGGACTTTTTCGCTGATTAAAATTGGAAAAATGTACACATGTACACTAGATTGGTGAGTAGATTTGTATCACTTATAATAGAAGCCAATTGTATAAAAGTTGGTTGTGCACTGTGTAACCGTAAATTTTTTTAGTGAGGTTAAAACACGCTCTACCAACTTTGTCCAAGATGGTCGGGGGGGGGGGGGGGGGGGGGAGGAGCTTTTACAACAAGGTTAATAGAAAGGATTTCCAACGGAACGGTGGGTAGATAAATCGTGTAACAGTTAGAACAGAAACCAAATGTATTAAAGTGTAATGTATGATTTCACTAGCGGGTTTTGTTAAATGACGCGATTAGTCCTTTTTACGATTCTTAGGAATATCTCAACTTCTACGTGATAGATCAGATAATTTTACTGGATTGCATTACATATTGCCTGGATCCATCGTTTTAAAGAGAAATGAAGATCAAGGATTCTTGTGTCGCTATTTAATCAGTAAAATAACATAAGTTTGAAGCGTAAGGGGGGGGGGGGGGGAGCCGGCGTTGTCATCTGTATTGTATTTCACTGCTTTGATTGAAACCAATTACTTACTTTTATAACAAAGAAATAAAACTGTACTAATGTAATAAAGGAAATCCGCCTTTTACGATTATATCCTATTTAATTAAATATAATTGCTCATCTCTAATGGCTACTAACTCCCTTTCCCCTCCCCCACCACTCCCTACAAGAAGATTTATACACAATGAGTCGAAGCTTGGTATATGGCTAGGGGTGATAGAGAATGAGTGGAAGTCCACCTTTCACCCTTTTTTATCAGTCCAAAATTGACGCAACTAAAACGCTTAAACCTTCCCCTTTCCTCCAGCCACCCCCCCCCCCACCTTAACACACTGCCGGTTGAGTTTTCCAATAGTAGAACTCACCCCCCCCCCCCCCCCCCCATCCCCTCACGGCAATGAAGGAAAGTTTTTATATTAAAAACGTAATGTACCACCTTATGTAGATGATTGTAGGAAAAAATTCACAGGAAAAAAAAACACAGGAAAAAAAAAACACAGAAAAAGAGTCACAGGCAAAAAGTCACAAATATATATTTGCATGCAATGTGTTAATACTTTTATGAATTATATATTCAGAGAGTGCAAAATTAACTTACGATTAATTAAATGTAATGTTATGTGTGTAGGTTGTATACGCATGGTAATATTTATAATTTATTTATAATTTATTTATTTATAATTATTTATATTTTATAATTCATCTAAAAATATTTAGTTTTAAGTATGTAGATTACTAATTATGTAAAACATAATATTAATAGCATTTAATAGAATGTCCCAACGTCCTCGGTTTTCATTGTGTTTTTTTAAAATACTAACATTAAATTACCATGAAATGGTAAATTCATCTGACTTGCTGCCCTCAACTCATCGCAACAATAGTTCAACCACCTGTACTGCCCACATTTATCACGCTCATTACATAACACGTATACTTGTGTTGGGGGGGTCCCATCAAGCATTAAAATTAAGAACGAAAAAGGAGAAGAATTAGACGAGTACAAATAGTAAGTATGTTCCCTTTCAAACCAGACGGTCTAATGGGCAAGTGAAGTAGAGTTCACTTGTTTCTGTGACCTTGGCATATGAAGAGATAGTGTGATCAGCACTATGCCCAGCTGCCATTATTTACCCTAATGTGAGTTAGGTGCCCATCAGAGTTGGGTGGACTCAGGGACGGTATACTGACTTGAACCTGAGACTTACAGGTTAGCAGTCCAGCTCTCTACCACTAGACCAATCCGGCATTTAGTCATTGATCAAGTAGTGGTAAGAATGATGACTAATTCTTTTAAAATGATTACTGAAAATCACTGCCTATCTGTAATTTATTCGTTTGTGAAGCCTGTTATTTAAAAAATAATTAATTAAAATATATGGACTTCTAGCCTATATAAAATATATGGCATAGTTCTGAGAATAGTGTAGACCTACAATTTAACCTATGGGTGTCTAGTATATAATATAAGGACTAGATTTTAAATCTGTCCTAACACATTTAAATTACAAAACTATAGGTTCCCTCTTTTGAATGAAAACAGGTGTGTTAAAGCATGAAGATAGTGTAGCAAATAATACTAATAGGTAAGGTTATTAGAAAAGAGCAGAAATTGAATTAGTTAAAATTGTGTGGGTTTTATTTCTAATGATAAAATTAGAACATTTACTCTAAATATTTCAGACAATTATCTTTTTGGCTGAAGTTATGCAAAAATGTCAAATGACAATTGTGACTGTGTTAGGTGGTGTGATAGTCCTTCAAGAACCATAAATAAATTGTTTTTTTTTTTAAATTATGATTTGTGTGCAGATCTAGATCTAAATTTAAGTGTTTATAGTGCAGTGTTAATAAAAATACAGGAAAATCGTTGAAAAGTATTGAACCTGTAACAACGAAGAGATAGTTAGCCTCAGTCTGTTAAAATCTGAGGCATGATCATATGACCCTTAAGAAAAATTGCTTAAGTCCACTATAAATATATATTAAAACAAATTTAATGGACCAAACGGTGAATTGTTTAGAAATTATTTGAAAGGCCCATCAATTATTTTAATTTGTTTTAAAATCATGTATTGGTAGGCACAATGTTACTAAAATAAATATGGTTATAAAACATATGACTGATTTTTGTTGGATTTAACTAAAGATTGGGTGTAGGGCCTATTTGATGATTTTAGCATTGACAGTTACTAAACAAAAAAAAAACCTGAAACAATTTGTTGTGTACATTTAATCACTGAAAATGACAACAAACATGGCTGAACTAAGTTATATGGTTAAAAAAAAAATTATTTAGGCCCCTAAAAATTGTATTGACTTAAATAATTGACAAAGTTTTGAGTACCAATTAAATACTATAACATTTTTATTAAGTGTAATTTTGAGAGGATCGATTTCAGAGATCCATACAGCCAATCAAGGTCTGTCTTACAAAAGTGAAACTTCGGAGTTATAAAACTTTACAAGTATTATGTAGAGTAGCCTTGAACTAAAAATAATAATTTACAAGTTCTCTAGATCTGCAACTTTTGGTAATCTATCACTTTAGGTACGGAAAATTGCCCGCGACTAGTAATGTGAAAAACAGGTGTTTCCTTAAATTTTAATAATTATTTCACCTTTTGAGGAGGATTTAAGTTTAAAAAAATACAATAATGTTTCCTTGTTTCATTTATGCACCTGTTTTTAAATAGGTCTGGTGCCCAAGTGGCTGTCAGCTGTCCGTAAATTTTCTACCACACCTACACTTATTGTTCTCTGAGTATTTTTATCCCGTTTAAAGTTGTTTTTTTTACAGTATAATATTTGTTATGAGTTTTGAAAATGAAATTACGTGTGTATGAAACTCCATACAAGAGACACAACTTGACATCAAAAGAGCTGCATGCGGCTAGACGCAAGCCGACCCCTGTTGTATACTTTACCACAACAAAAAAAACCTTTTCATAATACAAATATAAAAATTGATAAACTATGGCCCACTATTGGATAATCGCTAAATAAAGTTATGTGTTTAGAAAAAATTATAAAAGGGTATTTAATAATAATTGGCTCTAGAATTAATTTATTTTGTTAAAAAATGAATTAAATTGGTGTTAAAAAAGTTTTCTTTCCAAACCTGATGGTATATAGGGCAAGTGAAGTAGAGTTCACTTGTTCCTGTGACCTTGGCATATGAAGAGATAGTGTGATCAGCACTATGCCCAGCCGCCTTTACTTTCCCTAACGTGAGTTAGGTACCCATCAGAGTTGGGTGGGCTCAATTACAGTAGATTTACTTCAACCCGGATACAAACTCGAGACTTACGGGTAAGCAGTCCAGCTCTCTACAGCTAGACCACTCCGTTCCCAAATTGGTGTTAAGTCATGATGAATTACCTACCTTACCTCAAAAATGAATTTTTTATGAGTATTAAAATGAGATATTTGAGAAAATCTTTTGTAATAAACATCCAATTTCAAGTGGCTTCTCTTCCTGATTGATTTTTCTCATGTGCATATAGACTAAAACTAAATAAAACTTTGAGAAAATCTTTTATGACAAAAACCAGATTAATGCGGCTTGTCTCTTGAGTGACTTTACAAGTGCACTTACATAAGAACTTAGAGAAAATCTTTTATACATACATATGGCTTATAACCTGTAAGAACACATATGGCATAACAAATTATTCTTCTGAGTCAACTTTTTGTGACAAATCACGTTCATGTGGCTTTTCTCTATAAAAAAATTTTTGTGTGTGAAGATTAACAAGAAATTTGAGAAAACCATGGATGTCAAATATTACATTCTAGTGGCCTTTTCCCTGAATGAACCTTTTTATGTGTTCTTAAATTGGAACTTTGAGAAAACCTTTTATGACAAACATCACATTCATATGGCCTTTCTCCTAAATGAACCTTTTTATGTGTTCTTAAATTGGAACTTTGAGAAAACCTTCTATGACAAACATCACATTCATGTGGTTTATCTCCAGAATGAACTTTTTTATGTTCACTTAACTTGTAACTTTGAGAAAACCTTTTATGACAAACATCACATTCATATTGCTTATCTTCAGAATGAACAATTTTATGACGTAATAGATCCTTCATATCCACAAAATTTTTATGACAAACATCACATTCATGAGGCCTTTCTTCTGAATGAACCTTTTTATGTTTTCTTAAATAAGAACTTTGAGAAAACCTTTTATGACAAACATCACATTCATGTGGTTTATCTCCAGAATGAATAAATTTATGTCGTAATAGACCCTTCTTATCACTAACTTTTTTGTGACAAACATCACATTCAAAACGCCTTTCTCCTGAATGAATCTGTATAATATGTCTTCTTAAGTTAGAACTTTGAGAAAACCTTTGATGACAAACATCACATTCATGCGACTTATCTTCTGAATGAACTTTTTTATGTCGTAATAGACTATTCTTAGCACTAAATCTTTTGTGACAAACATCACATTCGGGTTTTATATCCTGGAAATTAAAAAATGATAATTCTGGTTTTATGTCATCAGAAGTAGAAAATTCTGGTGTAACATCAGGTTTAACATCTTGAGGGTTTTTAAATGTGATATCAGGTTTTATATCCTGGAAATAAAACAATGTTGATAATTCTGCTTTTACGTCATCAGAAGAAGAAAATTCTGGTGTAACATCAGGTTTAACATCTTGATGGGTTTTAAATGTCATGTCAGGTTTTATATCCTGGAAATTAAAAAATGTTAATTCTGTTTTTATGTCTTCAGAAGATGATAATACTATGGTTGATAGATCAGGTTTCAAATCTTCAGAAGATGAAAACTCTGTTAATTCATTTGACTGTATATCTACAGTAGATGAAACTGCAGATAACACATCTGTTTTAACCTCCATGCTGGACAGCATCTCAGAAATGAACTGATGATTAAAAAAAACATAAATGTTAAACCAATGTAAATGTTAGTCAAAACAACTTTAATAACATGGCAATAATTGCAACATATGCCAGACTTTTGTTAATCTGATTACTAAGATTTGATATGAAAATAGATGAGCAGTAATGCAAATCGATAAGGACTGCAGATTAATATCTTGGCTACCAGTTGTTGTTTTTTTTTAAAATTATTTATCAAAATAGAATTACTAAGATATTAACAATAACAAAAATCAAAACTTGATTTGCTGTTGTTAGTTTTTAATTGTAAATAATAAGTGCTTTATCTTATCCAAATATGTAATAAAAGTTTAAAAATTAATTTTAATTACAGTTGTAAATTGTAATAAACAGCTTAATAAACCTTTGCTCTCTTCAGGTAGCTTGGTACTAATTCGCACAAAATGTTTTTTAGTTTTGTTACCGAATAGGACTTGTAAGTTTTTGTTCTCTCTCACTTAAATTCAAATCCAGTTAGCCAGGGAGAGATAAAATTTGAACCAAATCAATTGTTGTGAATGGGATTCCTATTGATAACAAAAAAAAGGGCGGCTTTAAAAATCATAAAAAGTTGCCATAAAGCAACATTTGCAATAACTTTTTTATTTGTATGGCAGGGAACGAATATATGTGCTTGCATAAAAGTTGTGTGTGGGTAAGTATATGGATTTAATAATTTTTTTTTTAAAAATAAGTATAACAGTAAAAATATATAGGCATATAATTCTAGTGAAACGGGTACCCATGGTTAGTTTAATATAATCAACAAGCTACAGCAAACAAAAACGTAGCTGGCATATTATAATCATATAGGTGAATAAAATTATACCTATATTCTTGTACATTATATGCTTTTTCTATAATGATAAGAGTCAAACATATATAAATATTGCTAGAGTGATGCTTTAAATTTGCTAGTATAACAAAAAAAGGGGAATTATTTTTAACATATAGCGAATGTAAATGTTATGATTGAGTTGCCCACTAGGTTATCAAACTATCAAACTAATGATAACTTAGCTTCTTAAAGATGGACATAGTATCAATTATTTTTTTACACTAAACCTGAAAATATTAGTTCATGTGGTGGATAATGTTATAGTTATAGACCTAGACCCGATAAGCTAAATTAGAAGGATTCTACTAAATATTTAAAAGGGGTTTTTGGAATTACTTGAAGAAACATTGGAGCCAAAAATCACCACCTTGATAATAACCAAGCCACATCGATATGTTACAGTTATAATATAACTTAGGCTTAGGCCTATAAGTATAATCAGTATAAAATGCTTTTAGTTACAATTTGTTACTCGTATCTCTCCCCCTCCCTCCCACTGATATTATCAGTATGAGTATCACTATCAGTGATCAGTGTTTACGATTTAATAACCCACATTAATGTGGGCAAATTTCAAACATCGTCATCCCCAGTGTGATCGCCGCCCCGTTTTCTTGTTTAAAAAAATCTTGACAAGTGGAGTGGAGGGTTCGAGTTCAGTTATATCAGTAGCATATTGAGGAGGATTTAGATCTATGTTTTGAAAAGTACAAAAATGTTTCCTAGTTTCATTTAGGCTATGTACCTGTTTTTAAACAATTGAATTTAAAAAATTCAGTCATAAATGAAGACTAGCGATGTTTCCAACAGATGCAACCATGCTCATTTCATTTACTATAGCAGCCATCTTGTTTATTTTTTTTATTGTTACGTAACTTATAGCGCTAGATTCAGGGGAAGCCACTCTAACTTACAGATGGCCGCTTTTTGTATAGATCTAGTACTAGGCATACTGCCTAGCTTCGCTTAGGTTTTCAAAAGCATTTGATAATTTGAATGCTAATTATCACGATGAGGTGTGGAGTGCTTAAATTTAAACAGTAATGCTAATTTTAGAGAAGATGGGTAAAACCTTAGTTTAGCGTCGGTTATTATTCCGGAATCGTATAGCAGTTTAAAACAGTAAAACAATGCCAAAGTCTGTCACACACTTCCGGAATTCACCGGAAGTACTGTAAACCATACTTTATTTTGGCGTCATCTTTTATTTTTATCAAGAATGTTTAAAATTTGGATAGATTTATTTTTGTAATCATTTTTACATTTTGTAATCGTTTTTACTATTTTCGTAATCTAGATTTTTTCTACTTGGCCTAGCAGCTAGATATCTAGCTAGATCTAGTTAATTAATGGTCGCAAATCCGCTGCAAGCCAAAAACATTAATTAAATTATTAAATTTGACTTCATTAGGCCTATTTATATTTATATTAATATTGTTTTTTTTTTAAATTTTTAGATCTACTAATTTAAATCTACTACTATATTTATTATTGTTTCCTTTTGTCGATTAAACTTAAAAAATTAAAATATTAATTTACTACAATCGACTTTCAATTTATTTATATTTCAATGGTCAAATAAACCATGGTTTACCGTAACTCTAGTTACCGAAACTCAACAAACATTACCCGATAAAACTAAGGTTTTACCGAAAATGTTTTTTAACATCCGTTTTCGGAGAAAATATTTGAAAGTACGCATTGTATGACAAAAATCGAATTAGAACTACAGTTTCCATGAACAGTATAGTATATCTCATAATTTATATTACATTGCCTTTTAAAATAAATTTATTTATTTAATTTGGATACGTAACTGAATTAACAACTTAATTTTTTACTAAAACAAATGCTATACTTCGTCATTTTCTGTTTAAAATAGTATTAGTATACAATTATTTGAAAAATAATAATTTTAAAAACGTTACCTCCCTTGAAAACTGAAAGTATGACGTATATCTTTGTTTACTTTTTTAAACAAACAGTTGCTATGCTTATATAAGAAATTACGGTATATGAACATATTTAACACTATAATGGCTGTTTCCGACGGGAATAAAGTTTTTTTGTTACCCTCCAGGGTCGGTCTACGACGTCACATAATATTAAGGGGATCGTTCGTCAATTTATCTATATATATCTCATATAAGGAGAATTTCACTCACGGTCATCTTTTAGCCCTCGTCGAGGGATTTGGGTCTGACCAACAGTTTTCCATACGGCCTAGTCATCTATAGTAGTGTATGCAAAAACTTAGCATGATGTACAGACGTTAAGTAATCTAAAAATTAGGTTGAAATTTCCCTGTTTTTCCCATAAAATACAAAGATTATATAGGGAAATACGACTGGTCAGTTTTGACCCATTTCCCGATTTTTCCCGGACATGGCGAGTTTTTTGTGCGAGTTTTTTGTGACACCCCAAGGCGTTCTCCTACCACCTCACAATATTTCAAGGGGGGTCGTCGGAGGAAATTTTTTTTCGTAATATAGCCCATATAAGGCGCCGGTCAGTCGAGGTCAGTTTTGACCCCCTCTCCGTAGACTTTTCGGCAAACCGTCACCGGCCCTCGTGTTCTATCGCCCCAAGGCACCATCGTGCCAAATTTGACGCGCCTGCGGCGCCGGGATGACTTGACCACTTTGATTTATATATATATATATATATAGATATAGCAAATCTTGCTCGAAAACACTGCTGTTTAAATTTATTTTTTTGCCTATATTGATATATTTAGCCATTGATTTAGGTTTATTATTCATTTATCTATTATATTTGACACAACTATATCACAATATAGTTAGACTCATATAAATTCAATTTTCATCAAATTATAAAAAGAATATCATATATCTGTAGAGCTTTAAAAATGCAATCCAACAGTACCAATTTTATTAATCTAGCATAATTGGTTGATTAAATATAATTTTTTTAGTGTCGCAAATAAAATATATAGAAACGCGATCATAAACGCAGGTAAAAAGTCAAATTCACTTGTTTTAAAGCTAGTAAGCAAGAAAAGACATGATTCTTTCTTACTATTGAAATCAGTTTGTTTATACCTACATTTTTTTTACACCAAGGTGAAAGTGAAAGTAAATAGTTTATATAAATTTATAAAATGCCATTTATATAATTTATTGAATGTTTTGTGATGAATTTTCAATTGGAAAATACCGCATTTGGAAGCAGAAAGGTAAATTCTACAGATCAGATGTTGTTTGGAATGTTATAGATCTATATCAAAATGTTTGTTTAATTAAGTCCGCCCATTTCTGATGGGTACCGGATATACATTGGGGAAATTAAAGGTAAAAAGTAAAGGCGGCTGTGAATAGTGCTGACCACACGGACAATCACTTCATATGCCAAGGTCAAGAAACATGAACTCTACTTCATCTGCCAAATATATTGCTTGGTCTACAGAGGAACCTTAATTAATGTTTACAGGGGCCTAATAAAATTGAGTTATGTTTGTAAAAACATTAGGCCTAAGCTTTAAAAACTTATTTTGGTCAATATCGGAAACATGAACTCTACTTCATCTGCCAAATATATTGCTTGGTCTACAGAGGAACCTTAATTAATGTTTACAGGGGCCTAATAAAATTGAGTTATGTTTGTAAAAACATTAGGCCTAAGCTTTAAAAACTTATTTTGGTCAATATCGGAAAAAATAAAAATATTTTCGACTAAATGAGTTGAAAAAATCTTTGAATTTGTGTTATTTAGAATTGAAGCTTTCTTTCTTAATTACAAGTTGTATTAATTTCAAACCTTAATGTAATTTCTTTTTAATTCAGTATTAGCCTAAATGTAAGGTATGCTACAGAATTCAGATATTACCTATGGTTTTGTGGTTTTATATGTTTATAACATTTGTATTTATGAAATGACCTGATGAACTTATTAAGCAAACTGTTTTATTATTATGTTAATAGGCCTGCAAGTTATAAGTACAAAATATAGATACCTAATCACCAGAGTTTCTTCCAGGCATCTCTTCGGGAAGGGGGGGGGGGGGAGAATTTTTTTTTACCGAACCCCCCCCCCCCCCCCCCCCGAACGACATAAAATTTATATAATTTATATAGAAAATACATACTTTTAACAGTGTCCGCCCCCCCCCCCCCCCCCAACGAAACTCAATTGCTCTGCGCATAATAGCTGCATTAGGGTTAGGCCGGTTAGGGACAGGGTAAGTGTTAGTGTAACACCGAGTTTTAACCCCACCCCCCTCCTACCGCTCCCCTCCCTCGTCCACTTTCGACGAATCCCCCCCCCCCCCCTTTGTAGACGTCTATAAATATTTAGTAGACCTCTCAAAACATGCTGCAAAGATACTTATTCATTTACACACCATGTGTACATTAACTGATAATGTAATATAGGGATTTGATATTTTCGATAACATCTAGGTCTATCACTAGGTCTAAATAAGAATTTGGAGTTAAACTTTTCCAAGATGTCCGTAAGTCCAGAGGCGTAGCTAGGGAGGCACCAAAAGGGTCAGAATATTTTTTTTTAAGCTGCAGTTTTGAATTATAAACAGTCACAGTTAAGAAATTTAACGGCTACAAGCTTTTACATACTGATCTGTTTCTACATTGATTGTGTAAAACAAATACCCTTACGAAACAGCGACCGGCAAAAAACGCTTTCCATTTTTATCTCGACCGGCGGGGGGGGGGGGGGGGGGGGGGACTTTTTCGCTGATTAAAATTGGAAAAATGTACACATGTACACTAGATTGGTGAGTAGATTTGTATCACTTATAATAGAAGCCAATTGTATAAAAGTTGGTTGTGCACTGTGTAACCGTAAATTTTTTTAGTGAGGTTAAAACACGCTCTACCAACTTTGTCCAAGATGGTCGGGGGGGGGGGGGGGGCTTTTACAACAAGGTTAATAGAAAGGATTTACACCGGAACGGTGAGTAGATAAATCGTGTAACAGTTAGAACAGAAGCAAAATGTATTAATGTGTAATGTATGATTTCACTAGCGGGTTTTTTTAAATGACGCGATTAGTCCTTTTTACGATTCTTAGGATTCTCTCAACTTCACATGATAGATCAGATAATTATACAGGATTGCATTACATATTGCCTGGATCCATCGTTTTAAAGAGAAATGAAGATCAAGGATTCTTGTGTCGCTATTTAATCAGTAAAATAACATAAGTTTGAAGCGTATTGGGGGGGGGGGGGGGGGTCAGAGCCGGCGTTGTCATCTGTATTGTATTTCACTGCTTTGATTGAAACCAATTACTTACTTTTATAACAAAGAAATAAAACTGTACTAATGTAATAAAGGAAATCCGCCTTTTACGATTATATCCTATTTAATTAAATATAATTGCTTATCTCTAATGGCTACTAACTCCCTTTCCCCTCCCCCACCACTCCCTACAAGAAGATTTATACACAATGAGTCGAAAGTTGGTATATGGCTAGGGGTGAAAGAGAATGAGTGGAAGTCCACCTTTCACCCTTTTTTATCAGCAGTGTTCCCTCTAAGCTGCGCGGCTGCGCGGCCGCGCAGCACTTACAAATATGCCGCGCAGACAAATTCTGACCCCGCGCACAGATTATCAGAACGTCGGGCGAGCCTAATTCACTAGAAAAATTGTGGCCAGTGGTTTGAATTAAGCGACATTTTTAGTGCCTGTTTTGTTAAACAAACAGTCTTTGTGTTTTGTGACATAAATAGAAACCCCGGATATAATTGACTGGTCTTGACCAAGCTGATACTTAAAGTTTCTGACCTCGGTTGTCATAGCACAGGTCTAGTTTATGACTTGCCTCTCACCTGAGCGGGGTACCGATCTAATGTCTGGGTGACACTCCCTCTGCTTGATTTAATGGTTTACCCCAAAACTGACCGCAGCACTGACACCTAATACCTGAAAGGGATTGCGGCTACTAGCTGACCATGCAAGGTTTTTTTTTATTGCCACTGCCCTCCCCCATCTCCCAACCCCACCCATTTCCTTGATACTTTGACGATTTAACCAAGTCAGATGCAAATTCTACGTTACTAAATGTGGATGTGTTTATGCTGTTTGGTTTAAGGATTTATATACTATATATCCAATTCTTGGGATCATTACGTGCACCTGGATCGAACTGTTTCAGTGTTCACAAACTGGTTTGGTAAATAAGGAATAAAAGTTTACTACTCTGTGCTATTTGAAAATGTTGAAAAGAAAAAATGTGTGTAACAAGCGGTAAAACAATGCAGCAAAAAAAAAGCGAGAGGTTCGTTTAAACTGGAATGGCTCAAAGTTAAAGTAATAACCGATACGCCCGATTCAAAGAATGTTTCAGTTGAATTAGAAAGCATCTACGAATATTCAGATGAGATTGGACTGAAGTGTAAGTTCTGAGCTGCTAGTACTTGTAACAAAACCAACAAAGACAACGAATTTGTCACAGGAAAGCGTTGGGAATCATGGAAGCTTGACTACTGTAAACGTCGTTTATTGTCTCGTGTTCACGTAGAAAATGTTGCGATTGTGTACAACCGCTCAAATGAGACTGGTCTTAAAGTCTGCTGATTGAAACTAACAATGAGCGAGAAGAACGAATTGAACAAAATTAGCGCCAGCGTTCAAACGAGGATCAAGTTCGAATCCTAATGGATAATGTTCTTCTCGCCATTAGGATGAACGCCTCGATGCTGTCGGTACAACTGATTCATAATCACATGTGGAAGTATGTTTCTATACCAGACAGTTGGCGAAGTAAGAATTACGCCTTTGAGTTTGTTGAAGCAATCAACGAGGTGGTTGTAAAGAACATACTGACAGAACTTCGAGTAGCATCGTTCCACACGCTTATAGTTGATGAAAGTACTGACATAACTGTACATAAAATGCTAATCCTTTATTTTAAATTTCGTCCAGTCAATTCTTTATTCTACAAAACCGTTTTTGGTGGGATAATTCAGCTTACTGCATGTGATGCCTCAGCTCTGGAGGCAGCCATAACACAGTACTACACTGAACACCAACTTGATATGAACCGCATGGTAATGATAACATCAGACGGGGCATCGGTTATGTTAGGCCGTAGGAAGGGATTAGCTGCTTTACTGAAGGCTAAGGTACCCCATCTTGTTGAACAGCACTGTGTTGCTCATCGATAAGACTTGGCACTTTCTGACGCTTGGAAAGATGTTCATTTGTTTAAAAATAGCGAGGTTCTCTTACGCACGGTTTACATCCTATTTAAAAGTTAAAAAGGGCGCACTTGAAGAATTGGCCAAGGTGCATGATATGGATGTAATTTCTTTTCGACCAATTCATGAAGTTCGTTGGTTGTCACGTCACTTTGCTGTCAGTGCTTTGGTTAGAAATCTTGATGTTTTAGCTGCCTACTGTGAAGAACAAGTCGAAGACTGCAATGATCCTGTTTGTTGTTATGTTTTGAGATCATTTAGAGATCCCTTGTATCAAGTTGCTCTTTATATCGTTAATGATGTATTGAATGAATTAGCTAATCTATCAATGTTGTTGCAGCGAAGTAATTTATCATCTATTGAAGCACATCAATTTTGCATTTCTAAAATACGCAAATTAGAAGCACAATACCTGAGTGAAGATATTTATTGGAATGATAAAGCCAAGAATATTTTGAATGAAAACGTAGGAATCGACACAAGACAAATCACACAGTTTATACGATCAGTCTGCGACCATTTAAATGTAAGGTTTTCAGCAGATGAACTGCAGTTTTGGTCAGCTTTTGATCATACTGGTTTAAAAATTTGTGCATTTGAGTTTGGCTTCAAAGAGATTAAAGAACTGTGCGGAAAGTACAAAGATGTGTTACAAACAAATGAAGAGTCACTTATCACGCAATACAATGACTTCAAATTTCAGATCAGCGAAAAACTCAAATCAGGTTTAGTAAATTCACTATCCGAAATCGCAGGAGTTGCTTTAAACGATGAACAAATTAGCTCACTGGCAAAGTTAATTGACATATGCTGTACTTTTCAAGCATCCAGCGCTGATTGCGAGCGAGGTTTTAGTCTTATGAACAGCATTAAAGTGCAAGCACGAAATAGACTTTAAGCCACACATTTGGGAAATCTAATGCGAATTAAATTATATCTAAATGCTGGAGAGGATGTGGATTTAAACAGAGCATATAAGGTGTGGAAGCAAGGTAAGGTTAGACGCGAGAAATTGCAATAAATGTCCCTGAAATGTTAGCTAATTTTGTTTTCAAGTCTGCTTTTTAAAGTGGTTAACATGTAAAACTGATGTATTTGTATTACCTTTATGGTATTAACATTATTAACATGATTGCATTGCACTAACATAGTAAGTCGACCACATAACCTGTTGTATAAATATAACTCTGAAAGTTTCTATTGTGTATTTTATTTTATTTTAATGGGATTCGTATCTTCTTTTAATTGCATACGTTTCACTAGTCCTACACATTATACTATTAATTTATCAAAATGCATGCCTTCATTACTCTGCTTAATTGTAAGCCTAAATATACATATTAACTTGCCCGAGTCATTTTTAGCACCGCGCAGTCTTGGTCCTTAGAGGGAACATTGTTTATCAGTCCAAAATTGACGCAACTAAAACGCTTAAACCTTTCCCTTTCCTCCAGCCACCCCCCACCCCCCCCCCACCTTAACACACTGCCGGTTGAGTTTTTCAAAAGTAGAACTCACCCCCCCCCCCACTCCCTCACGTCAACGACGGACAGTTTTTTTTTATTAATATGTAAAACGTAAAGTACCACCTTATGTAGATAGGCCTAAATGAATGTTTCGATCTAACACACTACTAAGTGCTGTCCAACGCTTGCTCTCCGCATCTTTCGTAAGGCTTTGATACACCCTTTTTCATGTTTACGTAGATCTAATTTAAAAAAAAAAAAACAATTATGTTTTCATTACAGATTATTAGATTTTTGTGAACGTATAGAGGAAGGTTTTGATTTAGTTGATAGTATAACCAATCCTAAATTCACATAAGTTTACCAGTATCAAAAAATTCCATGCAAATATACATTTGTGCCTTTTATTCCTGAGACTTTCTTCCTACAATCCTGCTACCACCCATATATATATATATATATATATATATATATATATATATATATGGGGACGTTTCCATGATAAGTGATCTTATGACAAATGATCTCAGGGACAAATGATCTCATGGACAAAATATATCAGTACAAATAATGTCATGGACAAATGATCTCAGAAAAAATTAATTTTGAACACGTTTATCTTTACTAAGACGTCGATTAAATATGTAATGTTAAAGATCTCGAAAATCCTTCCACAAATCTATTACATTCTTTGCACTCAACATTTAAGACAAAAGACTTGCATCATCAAGACGTGCAGAAAGGTGCAGCACCATTTGTCTTGATGTAATATTTGCCTGTAGCGTTCTTGTTGGTGTCAGCCCAGAATCCCATGTTGGCACAACCAGATGGACCACAAGTGGTGCATTGTCCTGACTGTCAGATGACATATTAACAATCATGTTATATATATATATATATATTTATATATATACATACATATATATATATATATATACATGTATATACATATACATATATATACATATAAATATACTTATATTTATATATAAGGCCTACATATATATATATATATATATATATATATATATATATATATATATATATATATATATATATATATATATATATATGCACTTTATATACAGATAATTATATATAGAGCCTTTTTTTCTCTATCTATCTCTCTCTCTCTCTCTTTATATATATATATATATATATATATATATAATGTTCAAAGGTGCCTATTCATAGATACAATTGTTCCATATGCTAGTTAGAAAATGGTTTGTGATGGGGAGAGAAAGCACACAGTACATAGTTGCAACAAAACATTTGTATGTCGTCGTGTATTTAAGCAGAGATTATGAAAAAAAAATCCATTAGAAAAAAATGACAGATAGCATGCACCTTACAATAACACACTAAAAATGTCGACGTCATGTAGCAATTATCACACCTACACCAAAACAAACCTCAACCCGCCCCTGAGATAGCGGCAGTGATACATGTTCCATTCACTGGACCTACTTTAAATTTGTCCTCGCTATCACTAGGTAGTCCAAACTGAAATTAACTATTGATTGCAGACTTCTGGAGTGAGTATGTCATGAAAGAATTTTTAACTGTAAGGTCTATGCCACAAATTTTATAAAAATATCTCAATAAATAAAAAAGTTATGCGATTTTTAAAAAAGCAAAATTTGGTAAAAAACTGATTTTCAAAAAGTGCCATTTTTGAGAACCCATATTTTTTAAACTAAATAACATAGAAGTGTGGAAATTGGTAAAGTTGCTGCAAAGTTTGTAATATATATGCCCAATTTTTTTCAGTCATCTAAAATGAGTCTTTCAAGGTAAAAAAATAATTGAAAATGACAAAAATGCGTTTTGGTCACTTTTATTTTCATAAAAAAAAAAATTCAATTTTTTTTTTTTTTTTTGCTTTGGAATAACTCTAAAATTATTGTGTTGGTAACATCGACGTGGAAAAATGTGTTAATTATTTTCAAAAATCACATGAGTTAAAATATTATTTTAAAAAATACCACAGTTATCTAGTGCAGGACAAACAGAATCAAAATTTAGTAGAGTAAATGTAATGTAATGTAGTTTAATAAAGACGTGATGCTTACAAGTGATGCAGCAGTTGATGCCACATGCTTTGGTTTCTTTTCAAACCTGATAACTGCTTTGGGGGAACCGTTTTGGGGGAACATCTTTGAACGTCTTGTTTCCCTCAACCTTGATCTTGTGGAGCATCAAGAGTAAGTAATATGTTTTGGGAATTGTAGGGGGGAGGGGGGAGTGGGGTCTTGGCCTTCTTCCCTTCCCTTGTAAGGAAAGTTCTGGATAGGCCACCGTAAATGTCTCCAGCTATGGAACGAACAATTGATTTAGTGATTAATAAAATATAATTAAATTTACTACTAGACTATTGTGTAGGCCTACTATTTGTCCTATGACTATAACTGGAAACATATGAAAAAGCCTGAAAACACCTTTTTGTTAAAAGTAATTTATATTTTTTAATATATATTTTTAAGAGTAATTCTACTGAATGAAATTTGAAATAATCGTTGCTTGTCCCACAATGGTTGAGATATCCAATGATGAAGATGCCATACTGTGGTTCTCAACATCCTATAGGACAACTTAACTGTCCTTCATTGTTACTATTATATGCATATAAAATAAATAAATAATGAGAAATACTACTAGTACTACTTACACTTACAACTAATATAACATTTAAAACTAAGTCACAACATGTACAATCTTAATAAATTGCACAACCATCTAAAAATTGATCTGGTACATTTTATTAAGGAGACTGGCGCAGACCATTTCACATTATTCAGCAGGGGAATCAGAATCAGAGTGCACAACAGAAAATAAAAAAAAATTATCACATTAGTCCTTCATATTTAGTGTCTTTTGTTTTAAATACATTGATAAAAATGTATAGTTATTATAATTATAAATTTCTTTTGTGTTTCATTAGTATTTTATAAGTATTTAACCTTCGTTCCCTGTAAATAATTGAGTTCGTCCACATAGTAACCAGGATAGTCTGGTGGCCATTTTGAATTTGTCGATTCATAATTTTGACGTGATAGTCCAGATAAACTGTAGTAATACGACCCTATCATTGATCCCAGTCAATAGATTTTAAAGAATTAGTAAACACTAGCATCTAATAGTTAAGTGCATCCATATTTTAAGTCCCTAGAATGTCCTGAATTAAATAGCTTCACGTCTAAACACACCCTGTGTACAAGCGTAGTTCACCCGCTAAAACCGTGGACTTGTAGCGTTTAAATTTACATTAATAACGTGTACTAATTAAACCAAACTGACATTCAAACTTAAAATTCATTTATTAAAATGGAAATGAAACTTTAAAAATGATACTTACAACTTGTTTGAAGGCTCTAGCAAGGGTAAAATCCGTTTAGCATCATCGGTCGTCAACCTTTAAAACCGTTCGGCGAGCAACTTACTCGGGGCTGAAAGTCGACTCGAGGGTTATATGTTTATTGGGGGTACGGCTTCGCGACCGTAAATCAGAAATACTTGAATTTACAACACAAAGTAGTTATAAAACTGAACTTTACATCGGTGTAAAAATTGAAACAGAATTTGTTTGTTTCCGTGTATATATCGTCATTTAAAGTTTAAAATCTGTATTTTTTAAATGAAATAAACAAGTTATTTTTTTCAATTTATACATCGAACGATAGCCTAGAATTCGATCTTTAAAATGACATTAAGATTATGCTTCTACGATGCTTCGTCGCGAAGCCGCGACCAAATAAAACAGTGTGGGGTCGATCGGTACACGCAAAACGGTGAAATTTGTTGACGTAACTGATACTTTTCAAACAAATATAAAACACATTCAAACATGTGTTACAGATATAAAAATACCAGATTACGACAGATAAAGACTTAAACTTTATTGACATATAATTTTTATTCTTATAGGACAACTAGAAGTAGTGAAATTTTTTTTTTGAAAACCGCAAAAACTGACCCTAAAACGCACTTTTTCGCCAGTTTGGACTACCTACTATCACACGAGTAGCTGGTGAAGCTACAAACAGAGTTGATGCTCTCTTTAAAAAGTTTGACTGCACGGTTGTGGCTGCAGGTCATTAGTTCATTAGAGCCTGAAGTTAACAAAACACAAATAATGAATTGTATCAGCCTCATGCAAACAACACTTAAAGATGCTATTAAACCAGTTTACCGCTAATTAGTTCCCTTTATTACTACATCTAATGATTCCATTAAAACAGTTTACCGCTTGTTATTTACCATTATTACAATACCTAATGAGGCTATTAAACCAGTTTACCGCGTATAAGTTACCATTATTACTATACCTAATAAGGGCAGTAAACCAGTTTACCGCTAATTAGTTCCCATTATTACAACACCTAATGAGGCTATTTAAACACTTTACCGCTAATTAGACCCCACATCACACAATACCTAATGAAACCAATAAACACTTTACCGCTAATTAGACCCCACTGCTCAACAGAATTGATTGTTGACTGGCTACATCCTGGCTGGTTGTGACCTAAATTTGGGTAGAAGTCGACGCGACCTACATTCTGTGTTATGCCAAAATCTGGAATAAATTAGATCAAGTTAACTTTTGTTTATTAAATTCTCGAAAATCTAACAAATGGGCATATACACCAACACTAAGGGAGAGAAACAAAATAATTAATTATAAAATAACTATTAGACATACACATGTCAAATATGTACAGTGATAGTAATGATTCTACAACTTTAACACGTCGTATAATTTGTTGGGTAAAATTAATGAAAAAAATGTTCTAAAAAAATATTTACTAATAGATTCAAAAGTTATTAAATTTATTGTAAGAAATTTTCATAACCCATGCAGAAAGTATTTAAAACGTGGCATATAATCTCCTGACAATTTTGTTACATTAATTGATGTTCCAACGTCTGAGATCTGTAAATTATACGACAAATTAGGCAGGTGGGGTTATATTCTCACAATCGTGAATAAATATAGACATATAAAGGCCTAGGTTTGGGGTGTTGTGCAAAATTGATAGTTCGTCCTAGGTGCCGAAATAGATCGCTACTATTCTGTATATCACCATCTATAGTTTATAAATGATAATCAAAGTTATTAATTTTTAGGTACTCTTTGATAATGATGATTAAACCTTTTGCGCCTTTTCTTGGCAATAATACACACTCTAATTCCCCAATGATATTCTTTAATTTTATTTTGTCATCACTGAGCATAGAATGTTTTTAATAAACCTCTTTGTTTTGTAAAATAAATATAATCGTATTTTTAAAAAAAAATCGCAGTGGTCGAGAGGATAAGAGTATGAGTCGCAACACAAAGGTACGAAGTTCGTAAACCGGGTCAGGTAAGGCGCGTCGACTAGGGACAGTAACCCATCCAGGAGAGACAACTCCAAAATAAAAATAAATCTGCCTTGTAGTTTGTTCTTGGTTAAACAAAGGCTATGGAAGCAAATCCAGAAAGAAAGGCTGTTTCAGTCGGAGTAAACGGGTCATTTGGCGCATGATGTAATACAAATAAGAGCATATTAGAAGAATAATTATACGAAAAATTAAAACATAGGTTTTTGGGATTTATTTTTTAAATTAATTTATATTAATATTTTGTCCGTATAATTTATGTTAAACATTTTGTAGCAAAAAAAAAAAAAATTCGTAAAATATTTACGGAAGTTGATTAGAGAGCCCATGTCTGAGTGTATGACGTCAACAAACATGGCGTCCGTTGGGTCCAGTCTCACTTCCGCTGGCGTGCCATCAAATTCTGGGCCTGCTGGGTCCAAACCTGGTCAGATAAATTATGAAGCGGTAGAAGTAAAGCACACAATACTTCGCTACTGGCATTACCCTATGTTCTATGCTGCGGCATGTGTAGAGGGGGTGTATTTGAAACTCGCGAACTCTTTTTTACAATGACGTGGCTTCGAATAATGTGTTTGATGTAGTTTACTTATGTATCTATAGTTTTAATCGTGTAGTATTTGCAATTTGAAGTTTTATTATTTTAAAAATATTTCCAATAAATTTTTAGTTAATGGGCCCTATATGCTGAAAATATACAATCTGTCAGTCTATATTTATTGTGTTAGGCTGATTAAAACCTATACTATCTGCCAGGCTAATTAAATGTATACAATCAGTCTATAATGTGTTAGACACCATCTAACATGATATCGTCCATACACTAACAACCATTTAACAGACCAAACTCTAAACCCCCTCTCACCAACCTACCTGGAAACCTCCCCACCCACCAACCTACCTGTAATCCTCCCCTCTCACCAACCTACCTGTATGCCTCCCCACTCACCAACCTACCTGTAACCCTCCCCACTCACCAACCTACCTGTAATCCTCCCCTCTTACCAACCTACCTGTAATCCTTCCCACCAACCAACCTACCTGTAAACCTCCCCTCTCACCAACCTACCTCTAAACCTTCCCACTCACCAACCTACCTGTAATCCTCTCCACTCACCAACCTACCTGTAAACCTCCCCACTCGCCAACCTACCTGTAAACCTCTCCACTTACCAACCTACCTGTAAACCTCTCACCAACCTACATGTAATCCCTTCACCAACCTACATGTAAACCTCCCCACTCACCAACCTACCTGTAATCCTCTCAATAACCTACCTGTAAACCTCCCCACCCACCAACCTACCTGTAAACCTCTCACCAACCTACCTGTAATTCCTTCACCAACCTACCTGTAAACTCCCCACTCACCAACCTACCTGTAAACCTCTCCACCTACCAACCTACCTGTACACCTCTCCACTCACCAACCTACCTGTAATCCTTTCACCAACCTACCTGTAAACCTCCCCACTCACCAACCTACCTGTAATCCTCTCACCAACGTACCTGTAACCCTCCCCACTCACCAACCTACCTATAAACCTCCCCACTCACCAACCTACTTATAAACCTCCCCACTCAACAACCTACCTGTATTTCTCCCCACTCATTAACCTACCTGTAATTCTCCCCACTCACCAACCTACCTGTAAACCTCCCCTCTCACCAACCTACCTGTAAACCTCCCCACTCACCAACCTACCTTTAATCCACTCACCAACCTACCTGTAAACCTCCCCACTCACCAACCTACCTGTAACCCTCCCCACTCACCAACCTACCTATAAACCTCCCCAATCACCAACCTACCTGTAATTCTCCCCACTCACCAACCTACCTGTAATTCTCCCCACTCACCAACCTACCTGTAAACCTCCCCTCTCACCAACCTACCTGTAAACCTCCCCACTTACCAACCTACCTTTAATCCACTCACCAACCTACCTGTAAACCTCCCCACTCACCAACCTACCTGTAATCCTCTCACCAACCTACCTGTAACCCTCCCCACTCACCAACCTACCTATTAACCTCCCAACTCACCAACCTACCTGTACACCTCTCCACTCACCAACCTACCTGTAATCCTTTCACCAACCTACCTGTAAACCTCCCCACTCACCAACCTACCTGTAAACCTCCCCTCTCACCAACCTACCTGTAACCCTCCCCACTCACCAACCTACCTATAAACCTCCCCATTCACCAACCTACCTGTAATTCTCCCCACTCACCAACCTACCTTTTAAACCTCCCCACTCACCAACCTACCTGTAATTCTCCTCACCCACCAACCTACCTGTAATCCTCCCCACTCACCAACCTACCTCTAAACCTCCCCACTCACCAACCTACCTGTAATCCTCTCCACTCACCAACCTACCTCTAAACCTCCCTTCTCACCAACCTACCTGTAATCCTCTCACCAACCTACTTATAAACCTCCCCTCTCACCAACCTACCTGTAAACCTCCCCCCCACAAACCTACCTGTAAACCTCCCCACTAACCAACCTACCTGTAAACCTCCCCACCCATCAACCTACCTGTAAACCTCCCCTCTCACCAACCTACCTGTAATCCTCCCCTCACCAACCTACCTGTAATCCTCCCCACCCACCAACCTACCTGTAATCCTCCCCACTCACCAACCTACCTGTAATCCTCCCCAAACCTGGCACCCTCTCCCCAGCGTACCCTGCTGTGTGAGCCCCCAGACTGTGGCCGATGATGTGGACATGTTTGGGCAACAAGTTAAACTTGCCCTGTAACGTGATGGTATGGTAAACAAAACAACAACGTTAATTCACCGATATAGACTTAAAAGATTTAGAATACAATTTAGTAAGATGCGGGGGGACATGTCCCCGGGCGCCGACCTTAGGGGGCGCCAAAATGGGTTGGAAAAATAAATTGAAAGGTTGAGGGGGGTGCAAATTGAAAGTTTGAGGGGGGGGGGGGGTGCAAATCGAAATCTTGAGGGGGGGGGGGGGCTGCAAATCGAAAGGTTTGTCCCCGGGCGCCGGGAAGTGTCGCTACGCCTCTGTGCACGATTCGACAGCATTTTAAAAATAAATTAGCCTAAATGTTAAACATAATAATTGTTTATTGTTTTTCTTAGATATAACAAAATATGATAAGCAGACCGATATTTGAATTACTTTGAGTTGATTAATGAGAAGACCTTCACATTACAAATAGTTTATTGAGTTCACATTTAATTTACAATGAGATTATTAATGAAATGATATTTAACTTGCAATGAGTTGATTCATGAAAAGATCTTTTACCTACAATGAGTTGATTCATGAAAAGATCTTTCACCTACAATGAGTTGATTCATGAAAAGATCTTTCACCTACCATGACTTGATTCATGTAAAGACCTTTGACCTACAATGAATTGATTCATGTAAAGACCTTTGACCTACAATGAGTTGATTCATGTAAAGACCTTTGACCTACAATGAATTGATTCATGAAAAGACCTTTGACCTACAAAGAGTTGATTCATGAAAATACCTTTGACCTACAAGGAGTTGGTTGATGAGAAGACCTTTGACCTACAATAAGTTGATTCATGTATAGACTTTTGACCTACAATGAGTTGATTCATGTAAAGACCTTTGACCTACAAAGAGTTGATTCATGAAAATACCTTTGACCTACAATGAGTTGATTCTTGTAAAGACTTTTGACCTACAAAGAGTTGATTCATGAAAATACCTTTGACCTACAATGAGTTGATTCTTGTAAAGACTTTTGACCTACAATGAGTTGATTCATGAAAAGACCTTTGACCTACAATGAGTTGGTTGATGAGAAGACCTTTGACCTACAATGAGTTGGTTGATGAGAAGACCTTTGACCTACAATGAGTTGGTTGATGAGAAGACCTTTGACCTACAATGAGTTGGTTGATGAGAAGACCTATCTGTGGCCCCACCAGTCGGGTGTTGGCTGTAGCTTGAGTGTATATTGGCACCGCCCCAGCCGACCAGTCCACCAGAATAACGTTGTAATCTCCCTTGGTCAGA